TACGTAAGCATAGATGTTTAATATACGTGATGTTTTTAAGTGTCTAAATAAAATATTTTATAACTAATGCAAATATTTAGAATATATGACGTTGTGGATATGTGGATATAATATAAGATAGCCATAGCTCGAAGCTGAAAATGTAGTGTGTGAAAGAACCGTTAATTAAAACGTACCCACAAATGCTTATCTTTATTTCTATAAGAGTAGGTACCTATGCATTTATTCTGTTGTATACCTAACAAATTAATTTTGTTCTTACCTTGTCGAATTGCGCGGTCCTTAATACTTATGCGTATGTTTAATTTTACACCTGTTGTTGTTATGTAGTATTATACTAAAATATTTATAAAACACTTTCAAGAAAAAAATGTGCGTAAAAAATAGGAAACGACAGTACACGACTTAAATATTTTTTCTTAAAACGTGGCAGGATATTTGCGAAACCCCTTAAAAAGCTTCCTCTACCTAAAGGGAAAGTATTGAAGCGAAATAATTATCACAAAAAGTTTAAATACATACAGAGGCAAAAACCTTTTGTGTCGCTGTTAGCATGAACCTTTCCACAGCATATGTTTTAGCAGAGGTGTGAAGACTCCGCTTTGACGACTCAGGTCGTGTTGGTAGTTGTTCTGGGCGGTAAGACGCGCCCTGGAAACCGCAATTTTAAAGGCAGCGACTGACTGTTGTTCAATACTCGTAAAGTCACTTGTGCCGCGTTAGCAATTATTATTAGAGATGGGCCGAATATTCGTATTATATTCGGTATTCGGCATATTCGGCAGCTTTACCGAATATTCGTATCCGGCCGAATATTCGGTTAAATCACCGAATATTCGGTAAAGTGGTACTCAAAGTATCCACTGTATTGAAATGTACGAATTGAGTAATGCCATGTCTTTAATAATTTTACTGTTGGAAGTATATTTATTTATGGATTAAATCTACTTGTGTAGCGTTATGTTTTTTTATAGAAGAGGGGGCAAACGAGCATGCGGCTCACCTGATGTTAAGTGACTACCGCCGCCCATGATCAACCGCAACGCCAGGGGAATCGCAGGTGCGTTGCCGGCCCTTTAGAAAGGAGTAAGCTCTTTTCTTGAAGGTCCCCAGGTCGTATCGGGCCGGAAAAATCGCCGGTGGTAAACTATTCCACAGAGAGGTTGTACACGGAAGAAAACTCCTTTTGAAACGTACAGTGGTGGAAATCCAAGCATCCAGATGGTGTCGATGGTATCAGGACGTTTGCCGCGTAGTGCGTTCACGAAATTTGGCGGCTGGGATTAATCCGAACAATTCCTCAGAGCACTCTCCATGGTATATGTGAAAGAAAATGCAAAGAGATGCAACATCTCTTCGCAGTGCTAGTGAATCGAACCGATCGGAAAACACTCGGTCTTCGACGATTCGAGCCGCTCTGTGCTGGATGCGGTCAAGTGGCAGGGTTTGGTGCGGTCAAGTTTTTGAGGCACTGTAGATTTATTTCCAGTTATAGCAAATAGAAAGCTTGATAACATTTTGTTCGGAATCAAAAAAAAAGAAACGTTACATTACAGTCGTCAGTTTCTCTAAAATAGGTCCAAATAGTAGATCTTCTGCCACTCATTTTCATCATATCATTATCAATTTTCACTAATAATAACACAACGAAATACTTTTTTTTCTCACAAAAATAGTCAAAACATAAGCATATGCCGGCAATTTCCTCAGTAGGTACTAGATGATGCAATAACTGTCAGGTGTGGCGGGGGAGTGAGTGGCAGGGTCCGGCGCTAATCCCGCGCACTTTACGGTAACAAGTTTCGACATAAATTGGTTGGGTCTCGAGGTTATCCTGCCGAATAATGTTCGGCCGAATATTCGGTTCGGTAAAAGTTTTACCGAACATTCGGCCGAATATTCGTATTCGATGAAATCCATATTCGGCCCATCCCTAATTATTATGCACACTACGAGTAAAAATATTTTTTTCGATCGTTTTTAAAACGTTTATTTAGTCTTTTTAACCATTTATTTTGTCATTGCTGTCGTAGGGTGTCCCGAGCGAGATTCGTTTTGGTGGACTTTCCACGCTTAAATTCGGTGCACCAACCTGAAATTGCAGCATACAGCAGACCATAATGCATGCCGTAAATGTTGTTAGACTTGTTTGTTGTTAGGAAAATTTTAAGCACAGATACTTAATAACAGCCCGTAGGTACTAGGCTGGGTGCTGTAAAGCACTCGAAACGTCGGGAATTAAAAATAAGCTAATTAAACGCGATAATAAAAACAATTAATCGCTCACAAAATATCTTATATTTTTAAAAACAAAACAATCAGTTTTTTACGGTATATTACGAATTTTCCAGCTAGTATTATTTTTATTTAATGACTTCTTAAATTTACGCCAACACTACACATTGAATAAAACTATTTAAACAGATTTTATCGCCTTTGATAATTTTTTTTAATTAATTTATCTTATTAGGTACTCGAAACGTCGGATGAAAATTAAAAAACGGGGATTAAAAATACATTAAAAATAAGTTTATTAAACGCGATAAAATCCGTTATAGTTTTATTCAATAGTATTATTTACTTTACTTATTAATTTACTTTTTTAAAATCCAGAATTGAACCTCGTTCTCAATTTCTTTTACATCCCTCTCTTAATGCACCAGCATAATTTAATTATTACAAACTTAAAATATAATATGACACTAAACAAAAATAATGTCTTATGAACTTATCTTTTATACGTGGTACAGCCATGCTGCAGTTATATTAGTGGTATAGTTGTAGCACGAATGGGTCGGCTCGATCGGGGAAGGACCACGCTCTAACAGAATACCAGCGTAAAATAGTAGTTTAATGCTGCTGTGTTTCGTATAGTCAGTGTAGAGAACTGGCGACCCTTTTTACTGGAAACGAGGCATTCCATCTTGGTCCTCATGGGTGACAAGCGATGATTGTAATTGTTGTCTATGGCCCACAGCAACCACTTACCATCAGGTGGACTGTGTGCTCGTTTGTCACCCTGTCCTATAAAAAAAAATTATCGACTGTAAGAGTTTGTAAAAGGTGTGTATTTTTAACATAAAGATGATAAACGAGCACAGTCCAACTGGTGATAAGGTGATACTGTGGCCCAATGACACCTATGCATCTATCTACTCTCGATTAAGAATCAAAATGTAGGTTTCATCCCGCCACCCCAGAGGGCTAAGATAAAATGCCTCATGTCGCGTAAAAAAGGTCTCCGGTTAGGTATCTATACACTCAATGCAATTTAATTAAAAAAGTAAACAATTTAATCAATACACTAAGTACCATATGTAGTAAAGTAGCCAACATAACAATATCTTGTAGGACACGGGCTTCAACTCATTTCTAGGTGGATAATATACTTTATCTGCTCAACTTCACATTATGCTAATAAAATTATAGCTTGTTATTCCTTTGACTTTGACGAACTGCAGCATAGTATACAGGGTTTTGTTCGGATTTTTTTTTTTGGGTAATTGCTGTTTATAAGAGCTAATGATAAATTAAAAAAAAAACCCGCGAGTTTGTTGAGAGGTGCGGAGCGCCTGTGCGGGCGGTGGCCTTGACCGTCCTGCGCCAAAATTTCCAGGTCGTTCACCCGCTTCGACGCCCACCGCCACTCGTCTTTTATCTCGTATAAATAACTCTCACTGCGAACGAATTTCGGCTTTTAATGCTTGCATTTAAGATTTATTTTATAATAACATCTGTAACTGATATTACATAAAATTTAATCATTTATTGTGTTCATAGTTTATCTACCTATACGTTATACGCCTTGTTTATCATCAACTCCATACTTGCATGGAAAGGATGTGGGGTGCTATTATTTCGTCATTGTTGCGTTAACTAGAATTGGGTCGCGAAGTATTTAGGTATGTAGGTACGTCGTAAGCCAATACGTAGGTATGTAATTAGTTTAACAAGTGTTTTGTATCTATTCTAATATTATTTTTTTACATAACCCTTGTCATTTCTTTTTATTCGTAATGGATAATTCTTACTCGTGAACTTATTATCGTTTTTCGTTATTTTCCCGAAATCAGGTGCACTGTTTGTTAAGAATTAAGGATTTGTAGAACATAACGTAGAAAGCCTCGGGCAATAGTAAAGTGAGAATATTGAAATGTTTTGAGCATTAAGTTGTTTATCCCGGAAGTGTGTGCTAGCAGGGAAGCGGGCAAGCAGGCAAGCGGGCCGTGGCGGCAGCAGGTCACTCCGTCACGCGTCGACCTACACAACGCTCGCTATCCATTAGCTCAATTTCTTGTTCAAGTTCACTCGCGTTCCATCACCAAAAATATTTTCGTAGTGTGACGCAATCATACGACTTTGTCCCGCTCGTACATTCGGCCGCGCTCTCAGTAGGCACTGCTCTCACGCGACCTTGGCCGCGGAGCGCCCGCAAGGTTCAGGTCTTCGAACTCAAGCGCTCGGCGAAGCGCGCGGGGAGAGGACTTCACAACCCTCCAATGGCTCGCCGCGCATGTTTGCCCGCGCTTCTCATTGGTCCATCGAAGGCGCGGCAATGACCTCAGAGACCGGAGTTCGAAGCGCGCCGAGGCTCGCAACGAAGTATAGACAGACAGGCTTCGCCGACGCATAGAGGCGATATTCGCTCGACGAACGCTGCGTCGTTGCCGAAGTGATTGTATCGCACGGAGCAGTGATCTTTTTGCAGACTTTCACTCTTAAGGGGAGGCTCGCGCGGCTTCGATCACGAGTGCGCGCGGCCCGAGTTCAGTTCGTCGATTGAGCTCGAGTGAAGTGCACGCGGCGCGTGCAGCAGTGTGATATCGCGAACGAGCGACCTTCATCCTTCGCGACGAGCCGGCCGCGCGCCTCGGCCCATGCACTCCTGTCCTATTTTATCAAACAGAGTGCGCAGGACGCTAGTGTTTCTGAGCCGAAAGGCTCGAATGTGCCTTACGTGTTGTGAAGTGCGAGATAAAACAATAATTAAGTTTTAGCTTATGACTCAAGTGATGTCTCCGGATAGTAGTTACGGGCGTTACGATACGCCGGCACCAACAGACAATATGATGGGGTCGGTGCACACGGAGAGGGAACCAGAACTGCATATAGGTATGCTCCTGATCGTTTACTGCTTCTGTTTCGAAACAGTGACATACCTATTGCTGTAAACAATCAGTGACAATGAATTTTGAACGTTACACATTTTTATTTATTGTAATGTGTCACGACCGCGCTCTTTTAGGAAAATTCATACATACCCTATTCTTATGTTTTCATTTTAAATAAGGTGAAAGTGAAGTAGGTAGTAGATTTATTTCAAATAATTTGAACTATTCTATCAGTGGGCATTGACTTGTACGTAAGTGTAATACTCTCTTGTGTCTTGCTTGTTTATTTAAAAAAAAATTATGTAACATGTTATAAAACACTATTTGAAATTTTTAAAATAATAAAATTGCAGTTATAACACATTAGAAAACATAATTATTTTTATATTTCAATGGCTGATAAGCAGCCAGCGTTAAATGTATACTTATATGTATATATATATATATATATATATATATATATATATATATATATATATATATTATTATAATCGCTCTATAGAGGGGAATCCATTATCCCGAAACACTCCGTGTCGCAGGACAGGGGGCTACAGAGGGAAATGAAATAGGAGTTGACCGACAGCGTGTTTCTGATACCTAACCTCAAAGTAATTTAATAACTGCGGTACCAAATCCGCATGCCCAGCGTGACAACTATGGCAAACGTCCCTCTATGAGGCAATCCGTGAGGGAGGCCCACGGACTTTATATTTGCTCCGTGAGGGGGCCTATGTTTAGCAGTTGACTTTTGGTAGTACGGATCAGTTAGCTGGAGGACAATGGGCCGGCAAGAACCGACAACCATGAGAATGGTCCTCGAGTGGTAGAAATGTAAGATATCAAACACTGGAAGTGACAACATGGTAAAACAGGAAATCGATTGATCCAGGTAACTCAGATCAGGACTTTTTGGCAATCAGATGGTGGTTTTTTGAATACCTTGGGGGAAATGTTTAAATGACACAGCGAGCTTGTGAAATGCTATAATCATGAAAATCTTGTGTATGTTATTAGAAAAAATAGAAATAATATTATGAATATGTACATGTTTCAGTGATAGACATAACCAAATTTTAATTCGTTTTAAAATACTTAAATCGTTTGATTCGTCGTAATTTTTTTTAAAGGGTATCCTTTTTGTCTACAACAAAACATTAATTCCCATTGAATTGTACAACGATCATTAACACTTTTCGATAAATGATTGCTTTAAGGGTTTTATGAAAGGAACTATGTAGTTAATTCAGTTTGCCAGTCGGTTGCAGAACGAATGTGTGATGGATCGACTGAATTTCCAGTCGGAAGGGTTCGCTGGAAAACAATTAGAACGCTTTGTGCAAAATATATACAGCACTTAATGCAATAAAATCGCCGGTACGCAGCACGAATCGAGGGGGCTCGATCCTGTCTGCGGGGCGCCATGCAATGGATTCGCTTTCGACTGCTAATGATCTTATCGTTTTATTGATTACTCTGAGATTTCTCTCGCGATGTTTAATCGATAACAACAAAAGAGTTAACGGCTGCCTACAAAATAATTTGTGCTTATCGAGCGTGAAATATTTTGTTAATGATGTTTGCTGTGTGACAAAAAAAAAAACAACGACCGTTAGCGTTAGAGTGGGAGCCGCGTGACGTGGCCCGTCCAGCTGTCTTGCCGCACCACTTTTACTTTTCTCTTGACGCCCGTTTCACCAGTTCACTCACGACAGTTCATGTTTATTCTGTTTATAGCTATAAGCAGGCAATCGCAAACTATATAAGTCGTCACAAAATGTTTTTATTTTCTTATACATGAAAAACGTGTAAAGGTTCATTAACGTCGCTGCCAGTAACATTCAAAAGGACATTTGGCAGCGAAACGTACAGATTATTATTAAAATAAGCGACGCAGACGTGACAGTTGACTAGGAAACAGCGTTAGCTACGTGATACGTGTTGCTGTCGAGGGTTAATTATTTACAAAGAAACATCGCAATGACATAGTTTCTGCAGTTGCGATCTGTCGGCGCTGCGTTATTACGTCGGTACTTTCTCGTTTACTTTCTTCGACTCTCAATTAACGTAACTAGAGACCAACTCTCACACGCATAGATCAAAAAAAATTATCCGTGTTGCATCACTCGAGGAGAAATGGCTGCACGCTACATATTCTTTTGCTATTGCACTCGTTACGTGTCGCTTCGCTTTCCCTGCTCCATTGTGATCCCCACTGCGTCTACGTACTCGTATGCACACGCTAACAAAAGCGAGAGATGAAACAGAAGCGCAGCGAGGACGGCTATGTGATGCATCTAAAAAAAAGAAAGTAACACCATAGAAAGCGACCGCGGCGAACGTCGACCCGCGGCGAGTGGAGCGCGCCAGAAATAGAAAGTTTCATCCAAAAGGCCGCGCCCGCTCCCTTAACAAATAAACAAACGTAAGGGGAAAGTGAGAGCAGTCCGGGCCGAACGTCCACGAACCTGTTCCCTGTTGGCTCCTCCGCCCTTCGCCCTCCACTGCTCCCGCTTCAATACCGGGCTGTAGACGTCATACCTGTAATACCACGGGCTTTATCTATCACTGACCTACTAAGAAAATCACTTTGACTATTAACAATTATTTTTTTGAGTTAAAACTTACATTAATGATCTTTCATTAATGCATTCGACACTTTGTAATTAAGCAATCGATTATACTCACGCGATAAGCGAAATAAAAATGTTTTGAGACGAACCTTTTGTAGCGTACTGGAATTTTCATCATTTACGTAACAAACGTATGTACAAAAGTTCGTTGACATCGTTTTGTGGAGTGGAGAAGCGCTTTCTAAATAAAAATTCATTGTCACCTAAACGCGCGCAATGAAATGCGGTTGCGTCACATATGCGTCCTATGTATTCGTAATTAGCGGGATTCTAGTACTTAACGGGTTTATGTTTTAAAAACAAATCATAACATGTTGCATAACGCTGTAAAGTGTAAACTCTCATATCGAGAAAGTGCTAATCAGCTGCAAGCTGAGCGATAAATCACGCGACTTTGAATTAAACGTCGACGGCACGTGCAGTTCGATAGCTTCATGAAGAAACAGACTTTCATTTAAATACCTACTTGAAAGAGGACGATAACCACAGAAATCTAAATAATATTGCCTTATTATTTAGATTTCTGTTACGATAACGTACCATTAAATTTATTTTGTCTGATGCTACATTAATATTCGTTTCTTACATTGTTTGTAAATTATTTACCAGTAGTCTTATAATTGGTACTGATCTCGTTGGTCAAATTTATTAACATAGGGGAAAATTAAAATTTATATGATAAACTCTATCTGCCTTATTACAAAAAATACAAATAATTAGTCTCAGGCTAGAGTAATTACGCAAACTAAAATGTAAAACATGGAATTTGACAGAAATTGTTAATATGCGCGAAGACTGTGTACTTCTTTAATGAAAAACACTTTTTATAAACCATAGTTTTATACATAAGACTGATGCCGTTTAGTAAGACTGCGTACGTGTTACATTATTTAGTAGCAGCTAGCGAGTACATAGCAAATATAGCAATAAGAAGTCAGTTTTCACAGAAAAATTATCGTAAAAACTATGACTAAGAAGTTTTGTGTGTAATCGCCTTGAACGCCTGTTTGTGACGTAAAACCACCTTGTTATCGTAGCGATCACGTGCACTTGGTATTGTTTGTTATACATATCGTACATAGCTGGCGCTGGTCCGCATGATTAGTGAAGCTGAGCTGGACGGCAGCGTGCAACACCTTCAAATTACAAACAGAATATAAATATTTATAAAAAAAATACAGATCGCATCTGAATGTAATAAACCTACATTACTACCCTACCCTTTATCGTTGCAATTTTGTTTTAACTAATAGTGTTGATAGATCGATGAATAGGGATATATTGATGTGATTATGCATTTATTCGTTTTAGTTGCCTAATTCGTTATTCACGACTCAAAATTGGGAAATCAATTTTTGTCGAATAAATTTATACATGTAGTTATAAAAAATTATAAACATAATATGCTTAGAATATTTTCTTGATTTTGTATTTTTTTGTTTCAGAGTTCGACGGGACGACGGTGTTGTGCCGAGTCTGTGGAGACAAAGCTAGCGGTTTTCACTATGGCGTGCATTCCTGTGAAGGCTGCAAGGTGAATATAACTAAATATAATTAACATAAGTTTTCAATATCGTCGCTTTATTCCAGCAAGCTCACCCGCACCAACGATAAAATTTCAATCAAGATTTTATGTTGTACACATATAGTTGCTTTAAAAACTATAGACTCCATCGTAACGCACTACTGATTAGAATAATATGAACTGTAACAATAAGTACAAAATCGCTGTAGTTCCCGTTTGCAACAAGAATGAAATTAAAGTAAACAAAATGTCATTACAATTAGCCTATAAGGCTGCGCGCGAAAATGGTTTGTAGATATTGGGTGACGGATCACCTTTCTCCGTCTTTGTTGCGTCGCGCTCTCAGTCAACTCATGCCAATTGCGCTGTGTAAACACCGACATCCTGATCACACACGAGGTGCACACAACATATGTCTTTAATCGAACGCCGCACGTCACAAAATCGCGCACGCTATTTCGGTAAACATTGTAACTGGAAGTGTTCTGGGTGTCCTAGAACACCAACAGCAAGGTCGCGATACACGGAAGACAATCTCTGAACGGGCGACTCACAAACGGGATAGTTACAAATTTAAAATTAAATTACGTTAAATATCTACGCTATAAATTCATATGTTTTTAAAGATCTGTCAGATATACGGTCGGTATACGATATGGATAGTCATGGGTACAACTTCGGGTTGTTCCCTACCTGGCCCCGACAACGCCGGTTGTTAGGCCTTGCCCCAAATCGATTACTTATTTTTTTTTGGATAACCTGTTCAGGAACAATCACACGGGAAACAGTCGGACCTTTTAAATTAGAAAACATTAAGAAATTTACTTGAGGTCAGTGAAATACGATAAGGTTAAAAGATTGAAGACTTATATTTGCTATAATATGTTGTTGTTAAACATTAGCCGAAAGTTATTACATATTTAATTTACATAACATACATATTAAAATATTATGCTATGTAACATATTTTTGTGGGCGAAGTCTCTTTATTCAATGGTACACACAAAAATAGAGTATATAGCCAGAAACTGGTTCACCGTCATAAGGAAAATGAAGAACGAAGGTCGTTCTGGTACGGGACCGTCTAGCCGGGGCGTTCTCAACTTACTTTTATTATGGTCACAGTTTTTCAACTTTGTATATAAAAGTATATATTATTTATGCATACAAATAACTAAAATTCTGTTCTGTTCTGTACTAAACGCATACGATAGTATGTACGGTACTTACAACAAAAACACAATTTTGAAAAATTTTGGCTGTCTGAGATTAGCTGGAACAATTTTGTTCCGGCTAATCTCTAAAACGGCTGGACGAATTTGTCGGGACTTTCACTGGCAGATAGCTGATGTTATAAGGGTTAACTTAGGTTACTTTAATTTTAGAAAAAGAATTAGGGTATGGTGCAAAAAAAATTAAAACCTTAAATTACACTCGGGCGAAGTCGTGGGGACCATCTAGTATTTATTACATAAACTTACTATAGCAACTGTAGCTAATTGTAAGTTTTCTCCATTAGTCCTTAAAGGTCCACTGCTGGGCTCCCACGGTGGAGAAGATTTGCTTTAATTGGCAAACCTGGTAAGCGGCTTAACGATCGTAGCACCAGACGAATTTGTATTACTTATGTCTTTGAGGAATATTAAAGTCCCAAGTATAATGATAAAAAAGTTAAAGGTACAGCCTATATACGTCCCACTGCTGGGCACAGGTATCTAATTTCTGAGAGGGTTTTTACGGCAAGGAAATTTCCGCCGTATTATGAATTGTTATCACAAATTCACTGTTCCAACAAAGTCTTATTCCTTATATTAAAAATTAAAATAAAGCGTTATAAACCGTGTTCAAAAACACAATTTCAAATAGCAAAAAAGTATTAATGTTCGCTTAAATATTAATATAGAATACTCCTAAACTTGTAGATTTCAATTGAAAAATAATGAATAAAAAACACCGATATAATAAAGAAATACTGTATCAAAAATGTATATATATGAATATAAACATTTACCTTAATTTGCCTTTCCTTTAGTGTGCAAATCAGAACGTTGTCAACGAAATCAAAACTGTAGACGTGTATATAGACGTGATTAGAACGATGCATTTGATTGACATTTATATACCTATTCTCCATAGATTTAACTCAATTCTGATTCGTATAATTTTAAATGAACCAATGAGCACTAACTATAAACACTTCCTTATTCATGAACGCCTCTCCACTTAAAGTTAAATAACATTAACTTTGCTGAATTATAATGTAAGTTACCGTCTCACGACCCGACAAAGGTCGTATTCATGAGCGCGAAAGCAGTGCAAGGAAGCAGACGGGAGTAGAAGTGCAAGGGTACAAGCTGTACAAGTGAACTGGTTTAATCACATCAACTTGCCTACCGGAGGCGCGGACGAGACAAAGCCTATATCCTTCGTTCTGCGACCGTCTGGCCTATTGTGTACCAAACGAGAGGGATAACGATTATGCGTGAAATTCGAATTTCATTTTGCTGTTGTGGAAAAATGCGAAATATTTCGCTTACCACATAATTTAAAAAATATACATATGTTTCTTTCTCATATATTGGTTAAAAATACATAAGAAATGTAATAAACAAGTTCAGGTTTCTTATTTTAAAATTCTAATACTGCTCAGAAAGCGCTTAGCGACATCTGTTAACGTATAATAAAATTGTGTGTCATTAGTTGTGCCGCTCGCCACGAGGTGGCGCTGTAACTTGACGATGGCGCTGTTCGCACTTCGTCGTGAACGGTACATCGGTACACGTTGAATGAATGGTGAGCTGGCTTGTTTTTATGGCCCACTACGAGGCGCGTGGCCGTACGCACTAATGTCAACGAACTCTTGTTTATTACGGCACGTTCTTACATTATAAACTAACAATTAGCGACTGCCGTTTCGAGAACTTCACGATTACGTCTGATTAGGGCTGATACCTTTTTTCATTGTTAATTATTGAGATTGAATTTGATCGCGTATAATATTGTTAAAAATGATGTCGCCTTCTTGATTCGTATAGTGTTTTAAGTGTTTAGTCTAAAATTTTTATTGTTTTATTAATTACATGTTGTTAAGAACTATGATTCACAAATTGAATCATATTTTATAAATTTTTTATTTCATCCAAATATATGATTTTCTATTATTCATCAAAAAAATTAAGTTTTTTAAAAAATCGGAAAATGTGATTCCGAATAAGTCCTAACATAAAATGTATTTATAATTTTATACACACACGCATAATATATATATATATATATATATATATATATATATATATATATATATATATATATATATATATATATATATATATATATATATATAGGGTTTATATAGACTAGCACTCATATTGTTTAATAGCAAGCAACGTTAAAAAATATGTAAGTGAACAATCTTACGACAATTAAAAAATTTTAATAAATATTCAACTCAACATAATATATGCTTTAAGTCATACCATATTTATTCTGTGGTCAACTGATTAGATCTGAAGTTATATACTACTCAAGTTTCAATTTTTTTTGTTTTCCATTGGATATTTTTAACCAAATTTAATAGAACCTGTATCTACATACTTACCTACTACACTATGAAATATATCCCAAGGTACACTTATTATACTTGTAATAATGGGCGCTGTTATAAAACTTGGATTAATATAACATATAAAAGCTTGATGAATAAATGATTGAATATATTTTATTGTACACCACAAACAAATTTACAAATAACATAACAAAAAGCAGATTACATGTACAATTTTGCGGCCTTATCGCTACATAGCGATCTTTTCCAGGCAATCAAAGGTGTCACTTTATATTATTGTATCAAATCATTACATGTTTATGATGCAAATGTAATGCTAAAATTATATAAAGTGTGCTGTGAAAAGTGTAAACAAAGTTTCAGGTGATCGGTCTCACCTTAAGCGTTTCAATCGCTTTCAAGCAATCGGTGTTCTTTGTTCTCGCTGACCGACATATTTACGCGAGTTGTGGGTCGCTCATTATTTCGGCACCGTTCCGCGGTACAGGGCGCGAGGGCAACGACCCCGTCACGCCGCGCACCTCTCCTACACAGCTTCTCCTTGTTGTAAGAACTTTTACGGTCAACGAATGTATGTACGCAACAAGAACGTAACCCACATTATTTTTTAACTGTCAGCTTAAAAGTTCATTGATCTCGTGGCGCTTGCATTTATTGAGAGCATCCCACGTCGCGGTGTTTGTGTTACGATTTCCTGTGCGAGTAATGTTTTAATAGCTGACGAATATGACTTCGTTATTTTACGCTGAGCAATTATTTAGTAATTTTCCTATTTTGTATATAGTAAGTTAATATAGTTGCCTAATTCATAAAATAACAAAAACATTGCTAAATGTTATTTTATGCAACATTTTATTGCTTATGCGTTATACCTAATGGTATATTTAATTTTGTCATAAACTATATTACGATTCCTTTAATATTAAGGTCTAAAGCAAATTACGGAGAGTCAGTACAGAGAATACCTATAGGTTGTTAAGCAGTATTCCATTATAGCTAGTTGATAGTTGCACGTTACACTAGCCATTATCAGTTAGAATGCCAGTTCGTTTGTACCTTTAAAATTTAAAAAAAAAATGATATTATAGAGGCAATTGTATTCATAATCAATCAATACCATTATTATAGTTGCATTTGAAGATATAAAAGCTTAATAACCACGCCGTGTACAATCATTCTTCTTCTGTACGCCGTAACTTCTGTAAGACTTCTTGTGTACGACGCACACATTCACACTCTATAATGGGATTTAATTAAAATAAAAAGCCTGAATTCCTTTCAATATCACTTTCTTAATTCTAGTAGTTTAATGGTAATGGCTTAGTGTCTTTAATATTCAAATATAGTTAAATTATTTATTAAAATTATTTATTAGTTTTTTATTGCTAGAACCCCAGATTGGCTAAAAGGCCTTCTCCATAGACGCCCACTTGTCTCTGTTTTGTGCTATTTGGATTTGAGCCGGCGGTTCTGTTAAGATCGTCTTCGCATCGTGTTAGTGATATTCTCCTGCTTCTTTTTCCTAGCGGACCTCTCGCGGTTGCTCTCTGGTCCCAATCCATCTCTAGCGCAACTATAACAGTTATTCATCGCATTAACACTCTATAAATAAGTGTTATTAAAGAACAATCAGTTGCTATATCTAATTCAAATTTCCCTAACGTCGAAGCTGTAATAAAATGTGATAAGTGAACGGGAAATGAATCACAATCCCGATATGAGTCAGTGGCTTTATGTGTTATCAAGTTAACATCTGCAAGGCGTCGGCGGACTGTTAGACGAGGTCGGTCGACTGTCGGTTCCGCGAAAACTGAACGATGCGTCAGCATGTTTTTAACCCAGCCGGTGTTAGCTGAGTCGTTGTCCGCAAGACCGTTATCCGCCACCGACTCCCCAGTGAACTTAGCCAGAACTAAAATGTTCGGAGCAGCCGAAGTCGCCTTAGGTTTGATCACCACAAAACCAAAATTAAAGAACGGAAAAAATAAATCTTATTTCAAATTATAAGGTTTAATTACTTGCATGTGGTAAATTATAATAACGTTTAACTGTGTCAATGTAACGTTAGTGACTAAAAGCGGTGTGCATGCTATCGCGTTCCAGCTTAGCGACAGCGCGGTGTCGAAAAGTCTAGATGTGAGGCGAGCAACCCACACCGTGCTGTCGAAATCCTTGTTCCATAATCAAGCTATATAGTAAATATTTTCTAATATACGGTGAAACACATGTCCTACAATGTGTCGATAGAAATATTCTTATTAATTTTCATCAAGAGGTCTGTAATGTAACACATTTCGTGACAAAGTTAGTTTATTTATGATTTGTGGTCAACTGAAAAATAACTTAACAGAATATCATCTTCTTTGTTACATATAAAAATCAATTGCTGTACGTTAGTCTCCCTTAGAGTGGGTCCCTGGATGGTTTAAAAACTCAATTGGATCGCAGGTGGCGCTGTTGTCGAGGTTCAGAAATGACCCGAACGAAGCCGGGGTAGATCGATAATCAGCTTTAATAATAATAGGTCTTCTCCATTGCCACATAGTACGTTTCTTTATCAGCTGCATCCATCGACTCCCTGCATGTTTCATCAGAGTGTCACACTATTTTATGGGTGTCGCAAAACTATAGTTACGCTTGCAAGTACAAGGTACTCGAGAACCTTTCTTTCCCATCGGTTGTTCTTCGAGCTTTATGGCTGGGTCGTTACTACTTTAACCTACTGATTCGCTGGGCCTAGTCAATCAATAACTCTAGCAGAATATAGTTTTATATATAAGAAAATATGATTGTCTCATGTCTATGTCCTACTTCATACACATTCATTTAAACCCAGGGAGTCCCAAAGTGGTAGCTATCGACCGCTTGGGGTCGAAATCGATTTTCCAACGAAAAGTGATAATTTGTAACTGTAATTTGTTTTAATAATTATTAATTACACTTGATATTTAATGAATTTTATCTCTATTCATTTTGTTAAATTTTGATGAGAAAATGATGTCAAGTTTACTCACTCAACCAACCGCAAAGTTTTTAATTTGGTAAGTATTTTGTTCAGTAAGAAAAAACTGAAGATAGAATTTTTTTTAGAAAGTGATTTGGCTACGGGGGTTTGATGTAGCAGTTCATTTTAGAAAAGGGGTCTCTTGCCCAAAATAGTTTGAGAATCCTTGATTTAAACCAATGCAGTAACATTTTTCCTAAGGTATAAATAATGCTAGGAGTAAGGCTTAGTCTGTTCATTGTTTATTTAATATTTCAACACCTCTAGATGAAAGTAAATGACATTAAAAATTGTTCATTAAAAATTCTAATGATACATAAAAATAACTAAAAGGAGTCAAATAGTTATATAGATTTAAATATATTTCCCTTATAATGAATAACTATAAGTTATATGCATTGTGTTTGCATTTATGATTCAAGTCTTGTGCCGTTAGTCATAGTTCAATCAAATAATGTCACCTTTTGCGTCAATAGGTAGTGTTTCCCCACGGAGCAAGTAGGACTGTAAGAACTACTTTGCTCATCATTATCGATGATAACTATTTCCATATCCAACCATCAATGACCATCAATAAATTTCAAATCACAACCATGATCTGAATTGACGAAACATATAATGAAAATTAAGAAGGATAAAATTTCAGCACGAAACAATATGAATTCAAAACCAAAACGACCCGAACATTATTCAATATACAAATTCGCAATAGCTGGCTCGTATAAATGTTACATCTTTATAAACTAAACTAACAAATAATCTAAATATTTTCTCTTTAAAATAACCTATGGAATTTAAATATAGTCGTTAATTCTTATAGCTACCTCAAAACTCGTGTAATCATAACTCGACCTAGAAATTATGAATAACAAATAATTCAATTCGGACTACAGATAATATACTAAAGTGCTGGACACAAATAAACCAACTATGTTTTAGAACTCCAAACGATGTAACCGTGTTATTCATTTAGTGGTTATTGACATTTTGCAATCAATTTCTTAATTAATGGCCTAAACCTAAATAAACGTTTAATTAAAATATATTTTATTTCTTATTATAAAGCATAATTTCGTATCTTTGTGTAGGATGTGTATGCACCGAAATTCTTTTGATACAAATCATCATAGTTGCTTAAGCGGGAAAGGTTTTGTTTTCGCGGCAACGGTTGTTGACCCAGAGTCCGGTCACTGCCCGGGCTGTGGCCAATTATGGGCCACTCGCACGGCGCACAATGGATCGATGGCAGCACGAAATTGGGCCACAGAGCCAAGCGTCCCCCGCTCCGCATCGACGCTCGACAGCCTCCGCCCTTGTTATTAATGTCCCCTCCTGTACGTTTAAAATAAGATTCGCTTTGACAGATCTACTCGTAAATATTATACTTAGGGAATTGATAAGCACAAAGACGAAGGTGGTTGGAATCCATACTTGATAGTTAGGTAAAATATTTTGGTGTATGTTAGGAATAATAAGAAATCATTAGCTGTAGTGTGTAGCCCACCCGATGGAATCAATAACTAAATTGGATCAATGCACCCCTAGCAAGGAGCGCCCGCGCATTGAGGTAGGCCGTGACGCGTGGGTGACGTCACCGGGTGTAGAGCCGGTCGTCGGCCCGAACTGCTCGCGCCCTAGCTCCCGGGCCGACACGGCGCTTGCGGGGGCCGCGCGGGCCGCGGGGTGCCACGATTGTTGTGCAATCGAGCGGTCACCGACCCGGGGTTAACGTCCGCGTACCGCGACGCTCGCCGGGATGCGCCCGGCCTATATCCGGCGCACCGGTGCAGCGGCAGCGGCGCATTCTAGAGCGACGTGGACCGTTAGGAGCGCGAGCGGAGGGCGGGCGGCGCGCGGGGCCCGGGGGCACTCTCACTTTCTCGGTTGGGTCGGCGGCCGGCAAGTAGGTCGCGCGGGTAACTGTGCGCCGCGCGGCGCTGTGCCCGCACAGTCAGCCGTCGGCCACCATCCGTGTCGGTGTGGTGTACACGCTAAAGCTTGGATACAGTACAATCTCGTCAGTAGTGCTAGTGGGGCGATAGTGTAGTGAGTGTTTGTGGCATGGCGTGCGGCGCGGAGCTGCGCGAACGGCACTCGGTGCTGGTGAGCATGCTGGAGGCGCGCCGTGAGTCTAGCGACTCCGGTTGCTCGAGCGACGAGAGCTCAGATCCCGAGCGCGAAACTAATTGCAACTGTGATTCTCAGGGTTTCTTCCGACGCTCTATACAACAGAAGATACAATACAGACCGTGCACCAAAAACCAGCAATGCTCCATCCTAAGAATCAACAGAAATCGGTGTCAATACTGCCGGTTGAAAAAATGCATAGCCGTTGGCATGAGCAGAGATGGTAAGTGACTTGTTTTTTTTTATATTTGATGGGTTTTTGTGTCAAAATTGCATAAAATAAATCTTAATAACATTGTTGGTTTTTAAATATTTAATTTAAATATTTTACCAAAGAAAAAATCTAGAACGTTATGGTAATGGTTAATAGTTCATTATCATTTTATCACTTACTCATATCCATAAGAGTATTTTTAAGCATTTCTTAAATTGACGTCGTTTTATGAGTAAGGCCTGTCAGTTTTGTGTTCTGTTTTAATGAATATGGTTTTCGTACTATTTTTCGCAATTATGACACAAAAACCTTCTCTTTTTAAAATTTATAATATTTTCTATAAGAATTTCATTTGAAAAATTACATTTTGAAATTTTCAAATAACTTCCATTTGATGGATTAAGTAGTACTCAAACCGTTCATGAATGTACATAGATAACTTGCACTTAGACTTGTGCATAAATTATGCAATATTACCGTGGTGGTGGCGTTTGAGGAACGGCAGCGTTGCAAACGCGTGTATCGCGTGCCTAATACGTATACGCAATTAGCATAGGAAGGTCGTTCGCGTAATCTCGCGTGTAAAGGTAGGTACTAGGTACTGTCTGATCTCGTCGAGCGCCAAGTGGGACTCACGGCGCTTGCCGGTCAGATCCTATTTCGTAGCGCGCGGGGCAGGGGTAGGGGGGCGTTCGGTTATGCAAGCGTGGGTGAGTGCACGCTAAGCGGGTCGACGGCCGTGGCCGCTCGCCGCTCCGCTCGTTGCGACATCGCTCGCCCGCCGCAGCTCCGACCCGCGAGCGTATACGCAACGTGAAAGCAGAGAAAGGCTTATTTCGTAAGCGCGAGAGTGAAATTTGTAATTTCACTTTCATAACGCAGTTCGTCGCCCCTCGAGCAGTTTCACGAGATACATTACACGTAATCACAATAGAAACTTTACTTTGTTTTCTCTTGAATATCATTTATTGCTTAAACACAATTCATTGCTTAAAGGAGCTCTAGTATTTTGATAATCAGCATACAATTTTTATGTGTTAACTCACTCATGGAAATCAAATTTATGCATTTTATAATAAAATAGTACATAAAGTCCAATAAATTGTATATTTTAAATATGTGTTTATTTATTTATGTTGGTTTATATTATATTAATGACAAATGGGTAATTGACAGTATCATTACTCACTATTAATTGAATTTGATACTTTAAGTGGTGTTTTATAACTAGATCTGGTTTTTGATTTAATTTATATTAGATTTTATCAATTTTAAAATATAAAAATAAGACGTGTTTTGATTTAAAACTGACAATATCAATTGCTAGGCTCATATAATTTCGATAGGAACCCAAAGCTTTAGTTACGCCACTTGACAACAGATGGCGCTAATGATTTAAACTCCAGCGCCATAGTAAATACGCGGTGTTTAGTGGAACTAATTTTGATTTACTTCTATAATTCTTCATGTAGGTCTAGACACTGGATGAACTTTTTTGTATAAGCGAGGAAGTAACCGTTCGCGAAATTATATTTAAAGTTTAGTTAATAACTATTAACTTATTATATTTTAATGTATTTCCTTGTATTATTAATGTACTTATTTTACGTTATAAATTTTATTGTTTATCAACTTTATGTTAAAAAAATATGTTTTAAAAAATATTTTTAAACAAGTAAATTGTAAATAAAATGAAGGCTATGTACTAGTGTAACATTTATAAAATAATTTGTTTAGTTATTTAGGTTTTGTAGTTTGTAAAAAAAATTGATTTAATCCCGCAGTTTGTATTCTTAATGGAAATAGCAGGTCTATTTATTCTATGTCTATGTAGTTATAAACTAATATAAGTATTTAACCATATTTTACTTAATTAAATAGTTACATGTACGACATATAATAGGAAGATTTCTGTTAGTTTTGGTGATGAGTAATCGAGATGACACAATAGTGATGCGTTCGTTCAGATTTAAGGGTATCATTTGAATGAAAGATTTCGATCAGTACCAAGGATGTGATCGTTTTTGTTCTACACGTAGCGCTGGAGAGGTAAGGGACTGGCAAGGGGGCGGGGGCCTGCGCGGAGTTTATTGACGGCTCCCCTCCCCGCTCTCCGTTCCCCGCTTCAAGTTCAAGGTTGGCGCGGCGCGCGCCGCAGCGCAGTGCGAGGGAGTCCGGCCCGCGCACCGGTCGTCAGCCCTCATTGTTATCGCTATGTCAGTGCTTAATTTGCCAGTCCGCTACGAGAACTCGAGCCTTGTTGACTGTGATCGCTCGGCTGCAAGACGCTGACTGGGAATCGACAATTATTGGATTACACCTGCTAATAAGGATTACAGTGTTTGTGCGAATTAATTAATTCACGTGTGCTATGTGACACTCATTAATAAACTGCGTTACAAACTTATAGTTACCATTTTAGTTATCAGTGGCCATTGGCTGTGAATTAGATATTAGTTATTGTGTAAAAATATGGTCTCAGACATGGGAGAAGATTTGCCAATACTTAAGGGAATTCTGAATGGTGTGGTGAATTATCACAATGCTCGTACGTATTTTTATATGTATATATACACAACTAATTAGTAATAACAATAAAATTATTATTGTTATTACTAATTAGTTATAAAAATAACATGATGCTAATAAATAATTGGATGCATATCATAAATTCAAAATTCTGCCCTGCTCACCTTTAGTGTTATAGCGAAAGAATATTACTATTTTATTGCAGTAGTTAAAATTAATTACATTACATGTACATACTTGTAATGTTAAATGAATAATTGTTAATTTCGTGATAAATCACACTTTATAATTATATAATTAAACACAACGTGTTTTTTTTAAAGTAGGCGTACAATTGGTTAAAATCTCTTTTGCTAAGGTAATACCTGTAAAATTCTTTAAGTTACATTATTATAAAGCATTGAATTAATTGGATATTGATTAATTGGTATTATTATACTATTTTGAATAGACCCGTATATATTATAATATTTCTATAATTCACACGATATAACTACGATCAATTTATAAATGATAAACAATGAAATAATGTTGAAGCTAGTATGAAATAATGTCAGCGAAACGAAGCGAAACATTTTTGATCCGGCGACAGTGAACAATAGGTCGAGCATCTGGTGCGGCCCACATTAGCCAGGGAAAGTCTGGAGAAATGGCGAGAGGGCGCTCTCCGCTTTCGTTTTCAATCGTGAGTCGAACTCGCGAACACTTTCACCGGCGCTCGCGCACGAACGCCATAAGCGGCGCACTTGCCCTCGTCGCTTAATACCTTTCGCGCCGTGATGCGCTTAGCACGAGAAAGTTGTAACACTTTTTAGCATGACCTCGCGGTACGCGCTTTGTCACTTTTCGTTCGAAATAATTCAATCGCAACGCTTTCGGCTTTGTGTTCGCAAGCCAGACAAGGGGTCGTTGCAACGGGCGATGAACTCTACCCTCCGTGTCAGCTGCGCGTGCACGACGTCCGTCGGCACCCGCATACACGAGTTAATAGCGACAGCTGCCGTTTAAAATATAAGACCGCGACCTTGCCCAATACGCCCTTCGTTGGTCGCTCAATTATACGGATTTTTAAACACACACAAAGATGGTAACAGGAGATGTCAGCGTGTACATTCATGACGGTTATCATTTAATTTATTAAGGATAGAAGAGAAAATTAATTACTTTGTTTCAACATTGCTTCTAATGAATAGCGTTTTTTGGTCGTTTGAACTTTTATTGAACTTATGTTTGTTTTGTTGTAGCCGTGCGATTTGGTCGCGTGCCGAAGCGCGAGAAGGCGCGTATCCTGGCGGCGATGCAGCAATCGTCGTCGTCGCGAGCACACGAACAAGCAGCGGCTGCAGAGCTGGACGACGCACCTCGGCTGCTGGCGCGCGTGGTGCGGGCGCACCTGGACACCTGCGAGTTCACGCGCGAGCGCGTGGCCGCCATGCGCGCGCGTGCACGCGACTGTCCCACCTACTCACAACCAACTCTGGTGAGGAACCACCTTTTATATTCTTTATTTAAAACATTCTTTAATGTAACAAACACAGAACATACGATTTTATAAATTTGCATACTTTATAACCTTAAAATATAATAAAATACATTCAGTTACATATCACTAAATAAGTAATAAAGAAATAATATCTAACAATTAATTTTCTTTGTTCTAGGCGTGTCCGCTGAATCCAGCGCCGGAGTTGCAGTCTGAGAAAGAGTTTTCTCAGCGGTTCGCCCATGTGATTCGTGGTGTGATAGACTTTGCCGGTCTCATTCCCGGCTTCCAGTTGCTCACGCAAGATGACAAGTTTACGTTGTTAAAAAGTGGTCTCTTTGACGCCCTGTTTGTGCGACTCATTTGCATGTTCGATGCGCCGCTCAATAGTATTATCTGCCTAAATGGACAGCTTATGAAACGGGACTCTATACAGAGCGGTGCTAACGCGCGGTTTCTTGTGGACTCTACATTTAAATTCGCGGAACGCATGAACTCTATGAACCTCACAGATGCCGAAATCGGATTATTCTGCGCCATAGTTCTAATCACACCTGACAGGCCGGGCCTTCGCAATGTTGAACTAGTAGAGCGAATGCACGCAAGATTAAAAGCATGCCTGCAAACCGTCATCGCCCAAAATAGACCTGACAGACCGGGCTTCCTTCGGGAGCTAATGGATACTCTCCCTGACCTGCGAACACTAAGCACGTTACACACGGAGAAACTGGTCGTATTCCGCACAGAACATAAAGAATTGTTAAGACAACAAATGTGGGGAGAAGAAGAAGGTTGCTCGTGGGCAGACTCCGGTGCGGACGAATCTGCGCGCAGTCCTATTGGCTCGGTATCGAGTAGTGAATCGGGAGAAGTGAACGGCGACTGCGGCACACCATTGTTGGCCGCCACGCTAGCGGGCCGTCGGCGGCTCGACTCACGAGGCTCCGTCGACGAAGAGGCGCTCTGCGTTGCGCATCTCGCACACAACGGACTAACGGTCACTCCGGTGCGGCCGCCGCCGCGCTACCGCAAGCTCGACTCCCCCACGGATTCCGGCATCGAGTCCGGTAACGAGAAGCACGAGAGGATCGTGGGCCCCGGATCGGGCTGCTCGAGTCCGCGCTCGTCGCTCGAGGAGCATACGGAGGAGCGGCGGCCGGCGCCGGCCGACGACATGCCGGTGCTGAAGCGAGTGCTGCAGGCACCGCCGCTGTACGACGCGCCGCTGCTGATGGACGAGGCGTACAAGCCGCACAAGACGGGCCGCGCGATGCGGCGCGACACGGGCGAGGCGGAGGCACGCGCGGTGCCGGCGCCGTCGCCGCAGCCGCCGCAGCCGCCGCCGCGCGCTTCGCTGTCCGCCACGCACATCGAGCTGGCGCGCAGCTTGCGAGAGTGCCCGCGCATGACGCCCGAGCAGCTCAAGCGCACCGACCTCATCACGCAGTACATGCGGCGCGGCGAGGCGTGCGAGCCGTGCGCGCCCTGCCCGCCCTGCGCGCCCTGCCCGCCCTGCCCGCCCTGCGCGCCGCCCGTGCTCGAGCTGCAGGTCGATGTCGCGGACGCGCCGCTCAACCTCTCCAAGAAGTCGCCGTCGCCGCCGCGCGCCTTCATGCCCCGCATGCTGGAGGCGTGAGGCCGGCCCGCGGAGCCGCACGTCTCCGCTACCCCACCCCGACCTACTTTAAATTGAATAAACTATGTAGTAAATAATCGTTCGCAAATCGGTTTAATATATTATATGTGATAATTCGTTTAAGACGCGTGCGTGCGTGCGTGGCCGGTGCGGGACGAGGAGAGCGCAATAGACTGAAAAATAATTTAAGACTATATAAGTATAATTTATAAATGCAATGCAGCGCCGGTCGCGGTGTGTTTGTGTGTATTGTATGTGCGTATGTGAGCGTGCTCAGTCATTTGTTTGTTAATATAATGACAGGTTGTCGAATTAAAATAAAACAAAGTTGTAAAAATTTCTCTTGATTTTAATTTTACTACCCTCAAACAAAACATCATTAGGAACAAACATCCAAAATGTCTGAGAAATAAAAACTTTCGAAAGCAACATATTACCTATATGTGAAGTCCGCCAATACGATTTGCAGTGGTGGTGGTGTTACTTCATAACCCTTAACTTTGGGACTAGTAAGTATATAGGGTGTGTAACTTTACCCTTAACATTTTATATATAATGTTCATAAAGTAAAGACAAGAATCTTATTTCTACACCAACACATGAGTAATTATCAAGATACAAAATCTAACACAGTTTCATTTGAATATGTATTTAACGATAATAAAAAGTACTACTAAACATTATTTCTTCTTATAATAGAAACAAAATACCTTACTCATGAAATTGCCGATTTGTATGGGAAAATTTAAACCATTTTTAATACAAAAAATGTTTAACTGGAATCAAAATGTTAGCTTTAACCATTAACGAATTCTTGCCATTCAATGGGCAGTTTGTTGATGGCCTTGCTATAGAAATCTGCTGCAAGAGAATCGATAAACACTAAGGGCGTACTCTTTTTTTATATTAAATGTTTGGCTAAAAAAATCTTAATTTTGAAAAATGGAGCGTATTGAGAAAAGGTCTGAAGATAATATTATGAGGTTAGGTCTCTATATATCTTTGCTAATTTTGCCAACATACGTTGTGCAGTACGTGGCCGGGCGTTGTTGTCACCACGAGTGTCACGCTTACGTCAAAACACTCTTACTTATGCTAACTTCTAAAAGACTGAGACAGACTAAGAGGACATTTAATAATGGATAAACATGCTTGCTTAGGTCTCGTAGAATTATATATCTATTAAGGTACTATAAACAACTAAAAAAGGAAAAGAATACTATAAAAACTACACAGAAATATTAACAAATGGATAAATTTGTGTCAAAAACTTTAAAAAGAGTCGTATTGAATACCTACTATAATAAGTATTTAACAGTCTGGGTATGTCGTAGTACTATTACGTGGCCTGAGTGTTGAGGGAATTAAATTATTCGTATGTTTTACGGGAATTACATTCTACGAAAGGGCGACGAAAGAGGAGCTATAAATTTTCGAGGAGTTTTGATTGGGATACCAAAATTAAATTTACATAGTAATACAGGGCAAACTAAGTCATTGCTGAATATTTAGCAATGGCAAAAAGTAGATCACTGGTCTGGATTGTTTGAGTGCCAGCTTCTCAGCTATCATTTACAATTCTTAATAGTAACGATTAGTAGTAATCAGATGGTAAGAAGCCATATTGAATAAGACCAACGGTAAACCACCATCAATATTTTTTTAAAACCAATGGTTATAAATTATATACATGATGATATAGCCGATAAAACAACTAAAGAAGTGACAACTTGATTTAAAAAAGCTATAAATATACTTTTTTAATTTAACAATTCTAAGTCAAGTCATTATACAGTTCAAAGTAAACAATTTAACAAAAACTACAACTTCATAGGTTAAGAAAAAGTAGTTTAAAACATTTGTCTTTTTTGAACAAACGGGTACACACGAAAAATGTTTTCAAATATAGTTAATTTATCTTATATGGGTACAAATTAGGTTTTATTAAACACTCATTTAGATTAATATCATTGGTAAAAAACATAAATACGATAAAAAATCTACAACAGGAAGTAAATTTTGCTCATTTAACTAGCATTGAAGTTTACAGAAAATCTAATTTATTCTTCGCATCGTAAATCGACCTTAAATTTATACGCTCCCCGTAAGACTAAGTAAATGAGAATCTTACATCGAAAGCATGATGTTGATATTGAAGGTTATGATTAATCTACGTCTAAATAAGTATCTTGTTTAAAAGCGTGTAGGTCAAAAATTGTAGAATTGATGTTAGAAGTACAAACATGTTACTAAGGCAACGCAATCTGACCTTATATCATCACATTGGGATTTAAATATGGCGTGAAGAGCGCGCGGTCGTCGCCCGCGACGCGGGACGTCACTTCCGCGCGGTACGGTACTCCTGACTCCTAACTTCCTTTAGTTCCGTGTAACGGGTGTGCGGTCAAATGATCATTTCCTTATTTCCTAATTATCATATTCAAATCACAAGCTTTTCATGAACAGAGTTAAATGAAACGGGCGACGGGCAGCGACATATTCCTGATAACAATTAAAACAAATTTCGTTTTCCAAGACGCCTATCTTGCGTGACAAATATGGCAGAGGCCTATGTTCAGCAGTGGAATTTGATAGTCTGTAACGATAATGATGACCTTGAGAAACCGACTGAGACTGAAAAAATAATATCAAAAAGCTAATTGTTAATGATTTCTTATATTTACGTGAACGGTACGATTGAAGAAAACTACTTTTACAGATTTTATCGCGTTTAATTTATTTAACTTTAATTCCACACAGGGTCACGGGGAACTCAAGTGATTGACGTTCCGATGTCAGAGTTAACCCGGAATATCTTCAGTTTATTAGCCCACTCAAGTCCACCGCTAGTTATGAGTCGCTCGTTTAGTGCAGAGGATTTGTCACCATCGCCACTCTTGGCGAAGGATGAGAGGATTGTGAACCAGATGCCTCGCATCTTTGACGCTGTTCCTCGTGAAAAAGTGACTATTTTTACGTTTGCCATAAATGCGATGGCTATACAGCCGTCTTAGTCACCTACTACGACAACAACGGCACGAAATGGGGTGATGTTGATTCATATCAACATCACCCCATTTCAATACAAACTGTATGAGAGTATGAAACTCTCATAATAATCTTCATTTTGACAGCTATAAAAAGTATTTCAATTGGCATGCGTGCTACTCTATTGCTTACATTCGGTAAACAATAAAAATCAAGAAAAGAGCTTACTCCTTTCTAAAAAGCCGGCGATTACACACTTGCAATTCCCCTGGTGTTGCAGTTGTTCATGTGCGACGGTAGCCACTTAACATCAGGTTAACCGCATACTCGCTTGTTACCTCTTCCATTAAAAAAAAATTAAAAATTCATCCTAGTAAAAATTGCTAGCTAATAGAAGCAAGAACTATAATTACTATATATATATATATATATACCCCATAAGCCTGAATTATTGTTAGTACGTAAAATAGTGAGTGTCACTTGATCATCAAAAACGTACATAAAAATAGGTTCATTACATAATCAAAAGGTCTTAGGCTAAAGGAAGTTTTAACTTACTGCAGTAGTACCTATTTATAACAAAAACATGCTTTTTTTGCATTTTAAAAAATTATTCATTTTTAATCGGTCAAATAAATTATACGAAAGTATGTGATTTTTATTTTGTCAATGGTTGGAATGGCCTTTAATCCAATATCATCACGTTAAAACAAAATTTTTTCTAAACAAAGAGTATTAATAATATTTGCACAATAAAGTACGATTTTATTAAACAACCCTTGTCATTTAGCCGTATTATATTATCTGTCCAAGTTAAGCTTAGGAAAATGGCTGAAATGATTAATTTAAAAAGCGGCCTTATTAAATATGGCTTGTATTTAACTTTTGGTACAATAAAAGTAGAATCATATTACGGTTTTGATAACGGGCCATTGGTGTAGTTAAGAGTTATCTCAATAATCGTCTACAACAAGTTATAATTAACAGGAATGATGGCGAAAGCTATGTTTCCCAACTTCTTCCTGTCAATAAAGGTGTCCCTCAAGGATCTATTTTGGGCCCCTCGCTTTTTATCATTTACAGTTCCGATATAACAGCATGTCTTGAAAATTGCAAATACCATATTTATGCTGATGACCTACAGGTGTATATTAGTGTAGATAGTAAAAATGTAAATACAGCGGTAGATAAGTTAAATGAGGATCTTCAACGCATTAGTTCTTGGTCACAAAATAACTCCATGCTCCTTAATCCAACAAAATCTAAGTTTATTATTATAGGTACTAAAAGCAGGTAAAGGACATAACTTCTACTGATCCTAACGTACGTATTGATGGGGAAAACATTGAACGAGTTTTTGAAGTACGAAATTTTGGGGTTCTTATGGACAGTTATTTAAGGTTTGAAAATCATGTAATTAATGTCGTAAAAAGTTGTTTTTTCCGATTGAAAGTTTTATATTCAATCAGGCAGTTTATCACTGTAGACTTACGCATTAAATTATGTGAAACCTTAGTTCTGTCTAAACTAAATTATTGTGTAACTTTGTATGGACCTTGTCTATTTAAAAAATCAAAAAATTTAATTCAAAGGGTACAAAATGCTTGCGCTCGTTACTGTTTTTACATCCCAAGACGAACACATGTTACACCTTACCTTAATGCCTCTAATATGCTTATGCAGGAACGTCTCAAATTATTTTATGCCTCCCTGCTATTTGGAGTGATAAAAACAAAGAAACCAGAATACCTATATGAAAAGCTTCAGTGGAGACAAAATCAACATATGTACGGTATCCGAAAGTGTGCAAAAGTACTTTGCATACCTCAACATAGGACATCAGCATTTCGTGGTAGTTACAAATTTATGGCCACAAAATGTTGGAATGATCTTCCACCACCATTACGAGTCATAACAAATAAGAACAGTTTTAAGAGAAAATACAAAGAGTATTTATTAAGTACGCAGAAAATGTCATAAATATAAAAAAAAAATCGGCAGGGCTGAATATC